TGGGGTAAAAATTGGGAATTCATAACCCACTTGAATCTAATGTATGAAATATGATATGTCAAGAGCTTTGTAATGTTGTGAACAACCAATAAAAAAAAAAAAGAAAACTCTATATTTTTATCTGCTTTATTCCCAGGCTACCTGCCCAGATTCTTCATCTTCCAGATCCCCCCTAACACTCAGCCTCTAGCCCCCCAAAATATGTCCCTTGAACACAATAGATAAGAGCACCACTGTGCCTTGGTCTTACTGTTTCCCTTATTTCAAATGGCTTTTTTGCTCTTTTTTTTTTTTTTTTTTGACATTTATTTTTAGTTTTCAAGGGACACAACATCTTTGTTTGTATGTGGTGCTGAGGATCGAACCCGGGGCCGCACACATGCCAGGCAAGCGCGCTACCACTTGAGCCACATCCCCAGCCCATTTTTTGCTCTTTTGTATCTTCTGCAATCCTTCTGTCCCTTAAAGGTCCATCACCACTTCTAGAAAAGTGGCTTCAAATGCAGTGACTGGTGACCACATCTTGTATAATCTTCTTCCCCCAAGCAGTGCAGCCTATCATCCCTACCAGGAGGCCATCTTTCCTAATAACTCACAAAGTCACTCAGCTGGTACCTGTCACTGCTATCTAAATGCTAAGCACTCTCAGAAGGCCCAGAGCATAAATTTGTCTTTTCTGTGCTTTGTAGAGCACCATAAATGCCCCCGAAGCCCATAAATTTAAAAAAATTACTTTGGTACAAGTTAAGTTTTTACCAGGACTATCAGCTTTGAAATATTTCAATGCTTTCTTGTGTCATTAAACCAAACCAATGTTGTGTATTACAAAGATATAGGACGAAAAATATGTGAGTTAATTGCCAAACTATATTTCAGCAAGTGTCCTTATAGGGAAAGAAACATCTTATCCTAAGCCCTACTTTCTAAAACTTGTGTGTCCTTCTTTGTCTGATATGTCCTTTTATTTTTAGAGATTTCTTGAGGCCTGATTGACCAAGAGTAGACTGTGCAATATTAATGTGACCCACTTGATAAATTTTGTTTTTTTAACCATCATGAAAAATCATCATATATTATTAGACCACTTACCATTTTTTTTAAACTTTCAAACAGGATAATGTACTGTTAAAATTCAAGTTTGCCTACAGTGAGGATTTCTGCACTTCTAAGTCACTAGAAATTCCCCTTGATTAGAAAAATGTGCTCCAGAATTCGAAATTCAGAAATCCAAAGGATCTTTTTCTCAAAGAAAAATGATAGTTTGGTCTGGGGATGTGGCTCAAGCGGTAGCGCGCTCGCCTGGCATGCGTGCGGTCTGGGTTCCTTCCTCAGCACCACATACTCCTCAGCACCACATACAAACAAAGACGTTGTGCCCAATGAAAACTACAAAAAAATAAATATTAAAAAAAATGATAGTTTTAATTTTAAAACAAGACATTGGAAGCATTTAATTTGCTTTTGCATGGAAATAAAATATTTTCTACACATCAGGCCCCTCATTAACTATCAGTTCTCCAAAGATGGCTCTCAGCTCAGTAGAGCTTGCGGGGAGTCAGGAAGACTTCTGGCCATGTTCCTGGAGAGGCTGAGAGTGAGAGAGTACATGCAAGTGGCACCAAGCACCAAACTTGGGCAAGTGTTCATAATGACAGTGCATGCTCACTTCTTTCTGATTCACCTAGTCAATCAGCACTAACTGCATTATACTCGAGTATAAGGATAGTCCTACTCCATCAGCAACTTACAAACTGCTTTGAGATATAAGACACAAGTTGTCAGCCCCTTCAGTGAGCCTACCTGCAGCTACGGCCTGCTCAGAACCTGAATGACCCTAACCATCCTGTTTATGAATTGTAGGAAGCCAAGAGCTAGTGACTGGGAAGGAGGTGATGGTGGTGGTAAGGGGGTCAGTGTACTACATACACACTTCCCCTACCCTGCTGTGACAATCCAATCTAGATGGTTTGGTTTCCAACTCAGGTTTTCAGATTCTCAACTTCATAATATTTACTCCCTGAGAATATTCCTGCTGAAACTGAAATATTCCCTTGAATTCTTGATTGTTTAGATGAGCTCCAATTGTTATTGTCCTTTTGCAAGAGCTGGTTCTTATGTCTATATCCGTAGCTGCTGGTTAACGTCCAGGTTTGCTGGTCACTAAGAATCACCTTGGGAATTTGTCAAAATTACAGATTCCAAGGCCCCCAACCCAAACATATTTGAATCAGAACGTCAGGGAGGGGAAGCATCCCAATTGAGAAACTGAGGATCAGAGAAAATAAATTCCAGGGCCAATCACTTGCATTTGAGTGCAGAGAGAGTATTAGAACTCAGTTCTCTTCAATCCTACCTTCTCGTATGTTATAATTACATATATGGGAGGATATGGGCCATAATTGCCTTAGCTCATCATGTTTCCTCAATCAGAGCATTTTTATTCTATTTTCTAGGGTCATACATTTCCTCCAAAATGTAATCTTGGGTCCCAAACTCAAATGCCCGCTGTAGACAAATGGGCACAGTAACAATTAAAGCAAGTCAGGTAGGAATGCATATATGGCATCAGTGGAAGACAAGGATTTTTAAAAACTAAAGAAAACTTCCTGGTCCAAGGGGGCAGCTACTACTCAGTTCCCATTGGCTGCTTTCCAATTAGAATGAAAGCCCAGCTTTTCCTAATGGTCTGGATTTCCAGATGAAGTCTCAAAATATCACCTCCACAATTATATTACACAAGACACAAATCCATCTCAGGAACTAGAGAGAAGGGGCACCTGGCCTTGAAAAAGCTGGTTGCTTTGCTGTGATCTGCCTATGGCCATAGGACAACGTGGTGGGGAGCTGCAATTGGCATCTAGTTGCTGAGGAACTCAGTCCATCAACCACAAGGAACTGAATTCTGCTAATAACCATGTGAGCTTGGAAAAGGATTTCCAGTTCCAGAAAGGAACAGAGTAGAGCCAGCATTCAGACTGCAGTTTTATGAGACCCTGAGCAGAGAAACCAGATAACATGTACCCAGACTCCTGATCCATGGAAACAGAGATAATGTGTTGTTTTTTTTTAGCAACTGACTCCATGGAAATTTTTAACACAGCAAGAAAAAAACAATATACCCTCCCAGGCCCTACCTTCTCAGACAGCCCATTAAATTCCAGAGGTTTCCTCTCCCAATCTGCCACAAACACTTCATCCCTAACTACCTTGATCTTATCTGGTTTCCAAGAGGGATGTTAATTGAGTTACCATTTACAATTGACCCACCTCTTCTAAGGTTTCTTTGCATTTGTAAGAGAGGGCTTAGGGAGGTACCAACCTCTGGTTGATTAATCCAAACTAAAGGAATTTTAGAAATGCATGCAGAATAGCAGAAGTAATTCAGCGCCTAGGGATTCTCTCACTAGGCCACAAGCCATACCACCGTCTTTACCTAGGAAAGTTCAGCACAGCCCAAAACACTCTGAACGGTGGAACCTGGAGTCAGGAAATACGTCCTAGTTCACACATCCCCAAAGCCTAGGAAAATCTATGAAAGAAAGCTTCCATTTTCTTCTCTGTAAAATAGGCTGAGACCGCCCCTGGCCTCCCAGATGAGGCTGCTATGAGGACCACACTAGTTGGTATATAAGAAAGAACTCTGTAAATTAAAGATACATTCACAAACTTGGATTATTGAAGTGCAGGCACAATAACAGATCATTTGAGCCAGAAAGATCACAGACACACTCTGATTTCAACCCTGCAGCTCCAGTACTGACCTTGCCCGGGTTTGTTGGCAAGCTTCTGTTTCCTCCTTACCTCTCAGTGTCAGCCAGAAGCTGACATTCACTTCTCTCTGCTTCCTTGCAGCTGACAAAGGCGAGAAAGGACTGACATAGTGTTCCTTTCACCTTCTAGCAGTCTGGGTAACCACGGAGTAAAAAGCACCCAGCAAGTCACACAGACATCTGGGAGTCCCCAATCACCAGACCAAATCAGCCTATCAAACACCCGAGGTTTCAAAATAAAAATCACCCCTGCAAAGACTCAGAGAACCGAGTCCTTCAATCCTAAGAAGTCAGGCTCCTGAGATTTCTAGAACACTATCTCTTCCAACAGGATTCCACTGTGCCCACATCCACATTTCAAATGGAAAGAGCAAGCAACCACTTTCCTCTGCTGTCGTATGGCTTATGAAATCTACCTCAAGCAGAGTTTTATTGCATTTAAGTGGATGAGAAAAAAGATTGAGAAGGAATGAACAGAAAGGTTTATCCTCCTTAAATTCCAGCAAATAGGGTGGAAAAAATGCATAAGAGAAACTAAGCCCATCCCATCTTAAGGTGGAGGGTAAAGTCAAGGATCACATGACTACTTGGAGGAGGAAATAAAACTCTTATTCTTCAACTAAACTACATTATTAAATTATAAAATTTGATGATAATAATAATAAAGCAATATAATACTAAAAGAATCATAACAATACTAAACATTTATTTAGTGTAACTTGTGCCTGGCCTTGTGCCAAATATTCTCTCCCTTGATCTTCAGTGGAACCCTGAAAGAAAGGTATCATTATTGTCCCTATCTAACAGATGAAGAAACCAATGCTCAGTGAAATTATTTATGAAAGTTCGTACAACTGGCAAATGATAGAGCTGGCTCTTGAAGCCAGCTTTGTCTGCCTGAAGACCCTGTGCTCTTAGCCATTATGCCATCTCATTCCCTGAAAATGGATATGCAAAACTGTGCCCCTGCTCCCTAGAAAAGACAAGGGGTGGACCACAAATCTCTCCCAGCTGCAAGTTCATGGGACTCCCTTCTCCCATTCTTGCCCTTCCCAGAGCCTTATTAAACATGCCTGAACAAGTGATTCTCTCCCCAACCTCCCCAAACCTCACAATGACCTTCCCCATTCTTCAGAGAAGAAATAATAAGCACCATGCACTAACTGGTAATATGCATTTGTATCTTTATTCTCTACAAATAAATTGTTAATAATATATTCAAGAGTTCATGTGCTTTAATATTTTCAGAAAGTGAGAATCCTCTTTATTGGAGACAATCTAGATAATTTAATCTCCCTCAATACCAAATAGATATAGTCTTGGAATCCAAGCAAAAATTGTTTGAAACAACTTCTCTATATGGTCAGGACTTGACCATAAAACAATACCACTTTATATTATTGAAGTATTTTGTCAGTCTAAATTGGATTTTAATTGTTCAGCATCATCTTTAAGGACTTAACAAGCAAAACAAAATCTAAACTACAAGTTTACAGTTGCATTTAAGAAAGAAATGTGAGTTTAAAAGGATAAAATGATTGCAACCTGAAAGTAATTAATATTCATTGCATTTGGAGAATGGAACATTTAGGCAGAAATGAAAGTGAAAGCAATAACTGGAGCAATGGCAGCCTTCGTGGAGCAGATCATCACTTACACGGGTTCATGGAAGCCAAGAGGTCGGTGCTAGCTTTGATATGGCATTCTCAGAATTGCTGTTCCACAAAATAGATCTAGTCCATCATGCCATGGAGTTTTCTGAAACAGTTTGAAGGCAACCTGATTATTAAGAGGAAGAAAGCAAAGACAGGAGTATCAGAAGGAAGGTGTGAGGGGAGGAAAAAAGGAAGAAAAAAAGGAAAAGCAAAAACAGAGACTCTGAATTAAAATTTAATATGGGCAAAAAGAATCTGTATAACAGCAACAAAATGATTTTCAAGTTTCCAGATCTGAACCCCCCTGAAATCTAGGCATTAAAAAATAGGGATACAAAAATATTGGCTATCTTATTGGAATTCTTGGTTTCAGAATTTGCCTATAATTCAAAAAATAATATTAACAATGCTTAAGGCACAGAAGTGAGAAAAAGAACATGGTAATGGACAATATTATTTGGTATTATATTTGTGGCATGTAAGTAAACTAAAGAGTGGTTTTCCAATTTTTGCTTTTCATAATAATAGCTATTATGCTCTGTGTGCCATCTCTATACTTGTAAAACTATCTGGTTCAATTCTCCTGACAAACTACTTGTAAAACTATCTGGTTCAATCCTCCTGACAAACCTACCAGTTAACTATAATCATTCTCATTTGTACACAAGAAATCTGAAGATAAGAGAAGATGAGTTGCTCAAAGACACACAGGAAGAGGCCAAACTGCTCCTTGGTGCCAGCTCTAGACTCCAAAATATCTTCAGTCTTAAAACATCATAAGCATCATCACCACCAATAGTCACAACCATATTTATTGACCAATTTATATAGATTGACACTTGAATCCCCACTATGACCCCATGAGATGGTCACTATTGTTACTCCCATTTTACGAAAAAGGAAACTGAGACTCAAAGAAGCTTTAATAATGCCCAAGATCAGTGGCTTTAGATCCCTCTCACTGGAGGAAATTTCTTGCTAAAACTCTGTAGAAAAGGGTTATTTGGAGGGCTGGGGATGTGGCTCAAGCAGTAGCACGCTTGCCTGGCATGCATGCGGCCCGGGTTTGATCCTCAGCACCACATACAAACAAAGATGTTATGTCCGCCGTAAACTAAAAAATAAATACTAAAATTTAAAAAAAAAAAAAGGGTTATTTGGAGAGTAAAGTTCCCCAGAGCTTCGAGAATCAACTTTTTTTTTCAACTTTTTAAACCAAACTTCTGAAAAATCTCCCTAAAATATATTACACAAAAAGAATAACTATACTGAGTCAATATGGCATGAAAAGATATAATAGCCTAAAATAAATTATTCATTTCCTTGCCTAAAAGAGCACTGTGGAAGCAATTTTAACGATTCTTTCTGACTGTGAACCCTAGTTTTTTACTGTTCCCATGGAGTAGATAGAACACCAGTCTTCTTTTGCATGTGCATGACGTTTTTAAAAAGGTTTTTGATGTTGTATTGTTTGTTTGTCTTTTGCCTCCTCTTTTTTCTTTCTGTGGTCACTTTTTTATTTTGGTTTTTCCAATGTGGCTTCCTTCTCTTCTTCTTTGCTGTGGAAATAGTTACTAGGATACCAATCCAGTTAGAATTTTAAATAAAATGAGGTTAAATGGGATCCTAATAAAGCTCCCTTTCACAAGTGAAGAGTATGAGGTTTAAGACAAAGCCAGAGTGACATTGCACACAGAGCTGCCAACTCCATCTGGAATTCCTGGCTGTCTGTCATCTATTTGGCTACTTAGAAGCTATTTTTACCTCTTTTCTATTTTCGTTCTGAATAGGTTAGTATGAGATAATTGTATTTTGGCAAGATAAAATTTTCTATATTTTTAAATGTGCCAAATTTTTGAAATAGGATAAAAGAGGGGTCCCTTGGTCTTAGAATAAAAACCCTAACCAAAGCCATGCCCCTTTCAATGCTTATGGCAACTTGAGATAAAACTTGGACTGTGACTTAAATGTCCATTAATAGGAGAGTGGCCAAAGGGTAACTCATCTGTATAGTGAAATATGATGTAGCTCTGAACTGTATGTGCTGTATACATGTAATTACTGACAGGAAGCTGTGTTCATTGTCATATTGTCTAACTGGGGACAGAAGGGATGGAGAATCTTGGATTCCCCAGGATAATGATTCTAAAATACATTTCATAGAGTCTCTTTGGAGGTCCTAGCAGGAATGAGTGCCAGTCATCCCTAGCACAGTCACTCCTCTCATTAACTGGTCCTCTTTCCCTGTTTCTTTCCCCTGGTCCCTGATCCTGCACCCTGCAATCACCTACCCACCTCACTATATACAAGCTTTTGCCTCAGGCTTTGCTTTTGAGAGAACTTAAAGAAGCCATTGTTCAAGTGAAGACGTGATGTTTAGAGCTACCTTATCCACTGCAAACATGGGGGCATGACTTAGAGAACTACAGAAAAGTTGATCCATAATGGCAGCATTGGATCACAAGCAACCACTTAACTCTAGACACCTTGATCTGTGAAAAGAATGAGTTCCTATTGTTTAAGCCACTCTGAATTGGGTTTTCAGTTGCTTCTAATCAAAAGTAGCGTAAACAATACAACAGGCCAATCAAAATCCTTCTTGGAAACAATTCATTTAGAACTAGAGACAGAAGGACCAGCCCTCTACATGGGGAAACCCAAAGCTATGAGCCAGACAGCTTCTGGTGACCATAGTTCCTGCTTGTGGAATATGCTGATTCGAGAGAGGCAGAAACAAGAGAAAAGATTGAAGCCTGTGGTTTAAATTCTCTTAACAGGGAATTCCTCTATTTGCTTTAGATATTTCTCATAGGGTTTCTATTACTTGCAAACAACAGTCCTAATTGAAATATGAGCCATTCTCTCTCCCTCACTCACTCTCTTTTTAATAATAGTGGAGAGAAAAAAGTAGGTTCATGTGTGAAAGTGTCTATTCATTTAAGCATAGGAAAAAATCTGAACGGATGAACTGAACACAATCACCAATAGTAATTTCTGGTGAAGAGTCAGAACAAAGGAGAGTAAGAAAGACATATGTATCCCTTGTACTTTATAAACTTCTCAGTATTTAACTTGTTATAACCAGGTAGCATCATTCTGTAATTACAACAATAGAAAACTAGTACGCAAAAGGAGTCACTATAAACCTGATGACCACTGTTTGCAACCGGCCTAACAAAATTCAGATAGACAACCATAGATCCCAATGCCTGCATGAAATCAGTAGCAATGTGTCAAGAGAAAGACTGATGTCAGGAGACGGTATCTGATTGGCCTGTGACCATGGCCCCTCCCATGAGCACATATAATTTTCCCCAAAATCCAACCCAAATAAGCTCACAACCTAAGTTTCAATAACACATCCTAAAAGGGAATGCTTGCCCTACAAAATGCAGCTTCAAAGCAAGCTCATCTGTATCTCTTTCTAGCCCAATGCATTTATGGACAGAAAATTGGGAGCTGCCATAAGTCAATGATCCTGTGTAAGAAGCCTAAGTGCTACAGAAGGAGGGACATGTGCTGGACCAACCAACCTCAGCACACATGCTGTGGGATGGAGCCAGGTCTAGAAGGGATGGGATTATGGGAAATGGATTCAAATGTTGGCTCAGACATGGCCCACTAGGTGGATGGACCAAAGCACCTACTTATAATAACATGATATTCTCAGGGTGGAGATGACATTACCAAATGGAGTAGAGACAACTAAAAGTAAAGCAAATAACAATTCTGAGTGGCACCAGGAGGGCCTTAAATGATGGTCAGAGGTTGTCAAAAGCAGAAAACAAGGGAGAGGTCTAGGGAGATCCTGTGCAAGGCTGGGAACTTAGGAGATAGTAATCTAACTGAAAGTAAGACCCTGAATTCTGAGCAGGGATACTAAAGCAAAAATTGAAGGTTATAAATAGTAAAGGCTACATGTCATACTATATGTTATGGACTTTAAATTCATATTACATTTAATTTTTCCAAAAATCCTGCAGGAAGGGAACTTTCATTATTTCTGTTCTTGAGATTGATAAATGAAGGTGACAAAAAATACATGATTTTTTTGGTCATATAGCTTGTGGATTAGTCTGTTCCAGCTGCCATAACTCAAATGCCACAAACTGGGTGGCTTAAACAACAAAAATTTATTTTCTTCAGTTTTGGAAGCTCAAATTTAAGATCAAGGTGCCAACATGGTTAGTCTCTGATGAAGTCTCTCTCGCTTGCAGATGGCCACCATCTTGCTGAGTCCTTACATGACCTATTCACTATGTGCTTGTGAAGAAAGAGACATTTCTGGTTTCTCTTCCTCTTTTTATAAGGACACCCTGTCCTATCAGATTAGCACCCAATATATTTTGGATCTGGAATGCACTTCAAAGTCTCATGTGTTCAAGGCTTGGTCCCCAATGACAACAGTATTCAGAGGTAGGGTTTGGGGAGTGATTGGATCATGAGGGCTCTGACCTTATTAATCCATTTGATGGCATTATTGGGAATTGATGGAAACTGTAGGAGATGAGACCTAGTTGAAGAGAGTGGGTCCTTAGGGATATACTCTTCGGGACTGTATTTTGTCCCCTCCCCCCTCATTCCATCTCTGCCACCATGAGGTAAGCAGATCCGCTCTACCAAACCCTCTCTATCATGATGTTCTGTCTCACCACAGACCCATACCAATGGAGCCAGCCAACCATGGACGGAAACCATAAACTAAAACAAATTTTTTTCTCATTTAAACTGTTTTTCTCAGCTACTCTCTCATAGCAGCAAAAAGCTTACTAACACAGGACCCTACCCTTATTACCTCAGTTTACCATTATTACCTTCTTAAAGGCACTATTTCCAAATACAGTCATGCTGGGGGCTGGGGGTTCACAAATGAATTTGAAGGAGACAGTTCAGTTCATAATAGTTTATAAGTAACAAACACAGTATGGCGCTGGAGCATAACACTCTCGTATGTTTATGCTAACATACATTTTATTAAGGTATAATTTAAATATTATGGTTCAACAAGTTTTCAATAAAGGCATATACACCCATGTGACCCATGTTCCTATAAGAATGTGGTATTACATGTACCAGATCATGTGATGGCTGGAGGTGCTGTCACTGTAGATTTCATGCTAGCCA